TAGCTGTTAAGGAAAGCAATGTCTCTTTCAACCAGCCACCTCAGCACACTGGAGTCTCCAGCATGGAGACACTGAGGAACACACACAGGAAGGCCTACACTGGGGGGAGGGGGTGTTTGGGAGGGAAGGAAGAATATCCTTCTCCCTTAAATAACTGCATAACTTCTATTAGTGGCTCATATATTAGGCACGTCAGTCCAATGGACAACTCCAGTTCACCATGCACACATGCAAAAATTGCTCTCTTCAAAATACTGCAGCACCCAAATCAAGTGATTTGTAACAAGCATGTATAATATAGTTTTCTGACTCAGACAGAATCACTCACACATGACAACAGGTTTTATTTCATAGATCATCCTTTGGCTATGATCAGTGCATGAAGGATGGAAACTGCATTTTGCAGACATTACTTGGCAACACATGAATGGTGCGCCTGAATCACTGAACAGATAATTGGTGCTATTTCTTCTGAAATTTCTGATCATCCATTTGAGAAGAAGAATAGTTATTGCAGGCAACTCTGCTCTCCAAGAGATCAGCTGCATTGCGAGAACTGACAGCACCAACCGACTGTTTTGCAGGGGTAATCAGTATGAATGGGACATGTGGACAAACTTCTGCCATATGCGAAGATCTCTTGAGTGCAGCCACAGTAGCTGTTCTTTCTTAGAACATGTGCCTCACTCTCTTATCCTATGTACAACTACCTTCTGCTTGATTATGCCTACTGTGTCTGAAAATCTGGTTCAATAGAAAAAACTGAACCAAACAGATTGTGGAACATTTTTTTTTTTTTTAGGAAGGCATAGCTGCTCACAAACAATACGTATTGCTGTAATAATGGAGGGAAGATGACTGAGGTGGCAAGAGGAAGGGCAGCAGTGGAGAAGAGCGTGCAGAAGTCAGCAAGAGGGCAAAGGGACATCAAAGATTCAGGAGATTCGAAGGAGGAGAGAAAGAGCAGACCGGTACATAAGAAGATTGCTGAACCAGTTCAGTAGTCCATCTAGTCCAGCATCCTGTATCACACAGTCGTCAACCGGTTACCCTGGAGAACCAACAAACAGGCATGGAAGCCAAAGCCTTCCCTTGATGTTGCTTCCTTAGCAGGGGCCAGACTGAAATGTAATAACAGCCTGGAAAGGGGCTCTGCCCTGGTGGAAAGGGAAGAAAGAGGGTGCTTGCAGTGGCTCCTGATCACCTCATGCAGCAGGGCACGGGCCACTGGCTTGTGGTGGCGGCTCACTTCTGGCTCATGGATGGTGGGGTACACTGGTTCTCAGGGCAACTCCCCCATCACAGATTTCCAGTGTCTGACCTTGGCCCACGGTTGTAAAGAGGAGGAAGTAAAAAAAAATCTGTGTAGAAAATGAGAAAATGTAATTATACTAAGGCAGCACCCTCCGATTCTATAAACAGTCTCTCTCTGTTACCTTGAAGTGACTTTCAACAGCTCTCAATATTCTGTCACTTCTGAAGCACTGTGAGGCCTCATCAGGCTATGAACAATTACCTTTTTTTCTTTTTGGTTAATTTACCAGTCTATTGATACATCCTTTAGCATTGCTACATCCAAGGATACTTAAATCCAGAGATGGAAGGCGTGAACAGACAGGACATATCTTTCTAGAAGCCTGAAGAAAGCCCCAGGTTTGCAGTAAAACCTGAAATCTTAAAAGAAAAAATACATTGAGGGTTAACCCCTTCCCCTCAAATAATAGAAGCAACACATGGGGAGCGTTCAGACGCGGCATTTGTAACAGAATAGGTGACGTCCTCAAATAATAGAAGCAACACATGTAGTTTTAAGAAACAAATGCCCTCAGTGGCCATTGCTAGGCAGCCACAATAGTACTGCCAGTGTGTGGAATAGGATACAGGGGAAATGTGGCGTCCTATGCAAGTCCTTGCAAGTTCCTCACTGTTCAACTGGGCCTGGCCTAGCAGCCAGCACTGCATGATTGGGCCTGGTCCAGCACCTGCCACTGTGTAACTGGTGTTCCTGGGTAGAGGCTCCCAAGGTGAAGGAAAGCTGTAGACACAGGGGCAAATAAAGGTAGGTTGGCTGATGGGTGGGAAGGAGAAGGAAGCAGGAAAAAGTGCTCTCAGAGAACAGAAAGAAGAAATTAGATACCCCCTGCGAGTCTTCGTGGGTTCCCTGCTTGTATTTTCTAAATACCCTGTAAAACTCTTGAAACTATAGAAATATGTAGAAATAACTACCTTGTTTGTGGGTGGCCTGGTTTTAATGCTCTTATTACCATACTGGGTACAGGCAATTATAGATTGGGGGTCTGTCGGGAATAGTGAGGGTGAACAATACTGAAATCCTACTGCACCTCTCCAAATATCCCTCTCTAGGATTCAATAAGTTTTCAGGGGCTTAATTTCTCCTTGTCCTCTTTCTGTGAGCTGAAATTCAGCTTTTCTCAACATATCATCTCTTCTGTGATCATATTTAGCCCATCTTTAGTGTTGTCTCCTTTTTCTTTTGGTGAATTTACAAAGTCTACTTTGGGGGACTATATCGGGGAATCCCCTTCCTCATGTATGGAAGTTGTCTGTGGCTGGTCCCAGAAAGAATGGATTTGTTATTCACACAGAAGCCAGAGAGATGTTGAGATGCAGATTTCCTTACTTCTCTTTTGGCTATTCAATTGTTTAATTAGGCCACATTTTTAAAGTCCATGTTTATAACCACAAATATTAAAAATTTGCTAGCTGAAATTTTCAGGATTGTAACTTCTGAGCTGTACAAAAGCTCCCATCAACAATGCAGACATTACTTACCATGAATATGTAAAGGAGAAAGAATAGTGAAACTGATGAACAAGAAAATTCCCTTTTACCCCTTTAGGCATCCCAGTCAGTTCTTGCCCAAAGGCTTCTGTATTATCCATACAATACAATAGCACAACAATAGAAATGCAGGAATTTGACAAAAGAGGTTTGTGTAGAAAGGCTGAAAAATCCACCCTGCGGACCATATGGTCCACAATGGTCTGAAAAATCTTATCAGTGGTACTAATGGATGGGAAGATACAAGCAGGGGTCGTTTCGTAGAAAAAGAGCTAGGGGAACTCATTAGCATAACTCATTAGCATATGCCACACCCCCTGACATCACTGGAAGTGTGTCATAAGGCCACCCCCCCGCCCCCAATGGTCCCGGCCCCCGCCGGC